TCACTACCCTCACCCGCAACATACAGAGTAGTAATTGATGTTAACATACAAAATGACTCGATCGATATGATCTCTTCGAATGAATTATTTTATTCAGGGATTCTTCTACAACGGATGAGGAACGAACTAATCCTCGATATATACCTCAGTTAGAAATCATCAAAGAGGCACAAGATATAATTGCTCAGCGATTCGAAGCGGCCATTCCAATCATTGTATAATATGGGTGTTGGGAAAAGTAAATTGGCAACAGTAACGGTCGTGGCATTGGAAGAGAGACAGTCAAATGTACCTCTACCCCCGTTTCGAAGCGGTGCCGGTGCGAACGGTGTAACAGAAGGTGTGTGGATGTGGTCCCACCCACTTCCACATCCCGATCGAGAACAGAAGAAAAAAGGTTCTGTTATGATTCTTGACTGTGAAGGAATGGGTGATTTAGATGAGCACATAGGTGCGAATCTATATTTATTCTGCATGCTTATGAGCACTGCATTTGCTGTTATTCTTCGCCCATCGCGAGTTGATCGGTCTCAATGTGATCGTCTCTATCATGCCTTGTGTTGTTTCGAACGAATGCGAACGCCCTATGTATTACCGAACGTTTGATTATTACCATTAGATTTACCCAATTTTGTTTATAGTGATTCTAATACCGGTGATGATATTGTTATTCCGAAAGAACAATGGATTGAGAACATTTTTAAGGTGGACGAAGAAAAAAATTGTCTATCAACGACTGACAATAAAGAATTGATCGATACCAATATATACATTCTATGTTACCTAAAATAGATGCCACCAACATTCACCATTTACCACATGCAATGGCAACAAATACTCGATCAACTGATATAGGTGCGCTACTTCGAACTAAAGCATCACGTCATTATTTCCGATCGATTAAAGACGCAATTGCTAGTCTTCTAGCAAGTGGAGGAAAGCGACTTTTAGGAAGCAATAACAACAAATTGTATGTTCGCCCCGCTGAACTTGCCAAATTAATGGGTGACCTTATTCAGGCTATCAATCAAGACAGAATGCCGAATCCCAATACATTAATCAAGAAGTATTTGGCCAATCGAGTTAGTGCCGAAATCAAGCAAGAATGCTTGAAAAGATTCAAACGTGATATTCTGGGATATGCAAAAGCTCTTTGCGGAAAAATGGATAAGCTACAAAATGAAACGGAAATTGCCAAGACTGACCAACAATTGCGACGTAAACATTTAGAGCTGAAGACAAGACATTTCGACTACACCCTCATACTCACCTCACACCCCTCACAATCATCCCACACCACTCAGAATCCTAGAATCCTAAGCATATCATAACCTCACGCCGTTTTAAATTTTCGATTTGCGGCAATACAATCCTACAATCCTAGAATCCTAGAATCCTTGAATCTAAGAATCCTGGAATCCTTAGCATATCATAACCTCTCAACGTTTTAAAGTTTTGATTTGCAGCAAGGCAATTCTAGAATCCGTTAATCCTGGAATCCTAAGAATCCTGGAATTCTTAGAATCGTAGAATCTTGAGAATCCTAGAATCCTAGGATGCTAAGGAGGATTCTAGGGTTCTTAGGATTCTAGGATTCTAAGGATTGTAGGATTCCAGGATTGTCTTGCCGCAAATGAAAAATTTAAAACTTTCAGACGTTTTGATATCTTAGAATTCTAAGATTCTAAGATTCTAGTTCTTAGGATTGTAGGATTCTTAGGATTCTAGGATTCTGGGATTCTTAGGATTCCAGGATTAACGGAGTCTAGGATTGTCTTGCTTCAGATCAAAAATTTAAAACTTTGCGAGGTTATGATATGCTAACGATTCTAGGATTCTTAGGACTCTTAGGATTGAAGGATTCTTAGGATTCAAGGATTCTAGGATTCTAGGATTCTAGGATTGTCTTGCCGCAAATCGAAAATTTAAAACGTTGTGAGGTTATGATATGCTTAGGATTCTAGGATTGTTAGGATTCTAGGATTCCAGAATTGTGTTGCCGCAAATGAAAAATTTAAAACTTTCAGACGTTATGATATGCTTCAAGGATTCTTCGGATTCTAGGATTCTAGGATTGTGGGATTCTTAGGTTTCTAGGATTCTAGGATTCTTCGGAGTCTAGGAAACACTATTGTTCTAATCGCTCCCAGGAAAATGTTTTGTTAAAAAACTACACACAAAATAGCGAGACCTGCCTTTTACGGAAACACACCCACACACCCTCGCCCTAGAATCCTAAGAATCGTAGAATCCTGTCGGGGCGGTTGAGTTTGATCTAGTCAGCTACTGGAAATTTGAGTTTGCCGGAAAGAGTAATTCTCCATAAGGTGCACAATCATATCTCAATATTTTTTTTCTTTTGAGCTCTATTAGAAAGAGTACACCTGGAAACACAGGAAAATTTCACTAGAGTAGGGTCTTGTACTTCTGTCTCTTGAAGAAGGGAAATCATTAGTTATATGAAAATGCACTTTTGAGATTGAGCCATTTTGGAGCATTGTAGAGTTGGCCAGGTATAATTCCTTAGCTTTTTGTTAGAAGATCTCTTTTCATAAGCTTTTGTAGAGAATCACACGGGCTATCTTTTGAGAAAAGATTCGAGTATATGCCTCACGATTTGAGAGAGATATTCTCAAAATACTGAGAGGGTCATTTATTCTGGCGCACCCGTTAAATTCAAGGCTACGATGCGGATCCTACCCATCATATCAATCGACAGAGGGCGACGACATCGTTTTTCGAGCGATTCACACTGCCGTGAGAGACAATCATCGTTACAACAATACTGTATCGACCACAGCTGTATCAGTCACAGCTGTATCAGTCACACCTGCAAAAGCGATAGCGTATGCGGAATTGACTTCTTTCTACTCATTAGTGGTCTTGCTCCTATCAGTAGTGCTGAACATGATTTTGAGTTTCAAGGATTTTTCGAAAAACACGATTTTTGCGTACTGTCTACAGAAAGCAAAAAACAAAATCGACTGCTATAGAATAAATCACCTCGTATGATTTTTCAGCGATTTTATTGTAAAATATCATGGCAGAATTGATTAAAAAAATACAAGAGATGTTTAAATGTATAAAAAAAACTAAAATGCTTTGGATGATATACTCATTCTCTCAAGTATTATTCACTATTTAGTTTATGGTCACTAGTTAGGATGCGAGTATTTGGAACAATGACGGGAATCACCAGTATCTCGACATCGCGTGCCATGTCTGCATGGTATTTTTTGCTGATGGTCAGACCGTCCAGATCGATGGTGTTGTTCATCAGGATGCGAATACTGTGAGCAGTGATGAACGTCGTGTTTATCACGACAACCTAAACCGTGACGACATGCTTTACGCTGATGATCTTGATCAACATGCGAAGAATGAGTCCTATATTCATCCGGATGCGAATACCGTGAGCAGTGACGAGCATCGTGTTTATCACGACAGCCAAAACCATGACGGCACGGTGTTCGCTGTTGACTTTCGTCAATAAAAGAACTGAATTCTTGTTGACCTGGATGCGAATACGTTGAACAATGATGTGCATCATGAATATCGTGGCATTTCAATCCATGTCGACAAGAAGTTCGTTCACTTTGTTGTCCGTAGCCTGTCGTTCTCTCCTGCTGCTGTTGTTGCTGATGATATGTCGGAATTGACGATGATGCCTTGTCAGACGTAGCTTTGAATGAAAAATCAAAGAAGAAAACTGCCATATTGATGTAACAACGAAACAACTTACCGTGTTTTTCTGTTCTAGCGATTATTTCTACATGTTCACCGTGTGAAAATTTGATTCGATGTTCGTATGACTTGTTTTGACATTGTCGTTGGTCACGACACGGAATGAGAAAGTCAGGCATACCGGTGTGTCGATTCTTTGCACGATGTATAGGATCGTCGAGTCTTTTACACGATTGATTCATTGAACAGTGATCTCCTACATGAGCATCATGTGTCAGATGAGGCTCATCATTTTTCTTTCGACACAATTCAGCATATTGGCAAGGATGAGAATATTTTTTAATGTGTTCGTTGTCGTCTTGAAGGAGACAATTGACTGAATTAGGACATCGAACCAGTTTTGTTGATGTGGTTTCCTGGCCAGATCCAGCACCAAGGAAATCATAGACTTTATTCTTTATTTGAGATAAGAACGATGAAGATTTGTCGTCGCTTGGAGGCGTAGTGGTTGCAGATCGAGTATGTTCAGCAGTAGAGAATTTCTTCATACCAGGAAAAGGAGCGTCACCTCTTTTAAATTCTTTATCGAATGATGGATGTAAATCCGGCACCGGCTCAAAGCAGATGACTAAATTCCGAATGGGTACTTTTTGCGAGCCAGCACTCACATGAATATAATCCAATTTGTTTAAATTAAGAATTGATTTTGGAAATTTGTATGAAATCGTTTCACAGTTATAGATACTGTTTGGTCCGACATGGGACAGTGTTACTTGTCCGGTTTTTCGTTGAATATGCAGACAATAACTCAAAAAATCGTCCGTATTGCAGCCACGATGAAAGATATTTGAACTACTGGCAAAGGTACGACAGCTTTGAACAATGGCATGTCGATATGGTGCACCACAGTTCAAGTAGGAATACGATTCGTGATAATCACTTGTTGTTGAGGATGGTCTCTCGGCTATATAAGAAACGAGACATCGAATATTTGGCTGTTTTGCATCAGGATCAATCGGTTCATCTGCCAATGTGATCATCATATCACCGTACATCGATTGCCAATAAATATACGTATCATCAGACGAATGCTTTTTATGTTTCGAAAGATATTGTTCGGCAGCTTGTGAGATGGTCAAAGGCAAAACGATATGATCTGTGAATTGGCTCGGTGCGACTGTGATTGCATTACCACGAAAGTGTGGTGAACGTTCAATGCGTTCATCGAATTTGGTGATCAGCTTCTCAGTCACATAATTCTGATAGTTCAAACGAACTTTGTCCGACGGATTCGCTCCTCCACCGTCTGCATGACCCAAGTCGATTTCGTGATGTGTGATGTGCAATGAGTCACGAAACACAATTTTAGCTGATTCTTGAGCTGCTGGTGTAAGAGATGTAAATAGATTTTTAGGAATGTACACTTCTTCGATATAATCAAGAGGAATCAATTGAGGTAAATGTCCTTCGAACACTTGATGTGAGTCAACACTTGTCCAGTATTTTTGGATTGCTTTCAGATCGACATCTGAGAGTTTTTTCTTTGTTCCTGTTAAACCTATTATTGCTGCTGCTGCTGCGTATTCATATCCGGGTACCGAGCAGTGCAGTTTCGATTCATGAAACTGTTTGACTCGTCCGTCGATGGTATTCGGATCTTTGAGCCACGGTTGATGTTTGAAAACATTTCCACTTGCAAATGCAGTTGCTGCTTGACTGGAAAAGTTTGCATCTGGATGATGCATTAATTCACTCTTAAAGATAAGAAAAATATCTCCATAATAATGACCAAGATTTGGACCAAGAATACTAAAAACATGTCTGTCGGTGCCCAATGCTTTGTCTGGTAGATATCCAATTCCTGCTGGATTAGCGTGAAGTTTCAATGAAGCTTCAGCAATTTCCATGGCACATCGACGAATAACGTCGACTTCTTCTGGACTTAGGATAGTGCTTAGAATTTTTTCTTTCATACGAATAGTTGAGTTATATTCGTCTTGAGCGACCGATGACGCTGTTCCAGTTGTTACCAATGAAGGTTGAATGACTTTCTTGTCGTATTCAACAGCAACAATTGCTTTGATATATTCTTTTGCCTGATCTTCGATCGTTTGAGTCTTGTGACGATCGAAAATTGATCGAACACGTTTATGTTGCTGAACAGCTTGAGCGACAAAATGAGGTTTCTTCAAATGTTCCATATGTTCACGTGACATTACATGACCGTGAACGAGTATGGATTCAAAAATTAATTTTCCACATCGATGAACAGGTTGTAATCCTCGAATCCATTTAGGAATTTCTGGTGAAATGGACAATGGCTTTTTAGCATATTCCTCGATTGCTGCTATAATATTCTTTTGATTTTCCACAAAATTTGGCTCTGTATTCAGTCCAAAGTAACGAATGACACCACTACGATCGTAGTTGCCACCGTGTCGACAACGTACTATGTGATCAGGCTTTCGGCGATCTCGACACTCATAAGCCGCTCGGACGCACAAATGACGAATATCTGCGATGTTTGGATGAGCAAACGAGTTTAAATGATCTTCTTGAGTGATTTTCGTGCATTTATCTCCATAGGGACAAATGTTACGTGCGATGTGAATCGTTCTTTCCCAATGTAACTCGAATGGCTCATGGCACTGACGACCGAATCGACATATATGTGAAAATCGAAGACAATGATTTTGAACATCAGCCGGAAGTGCTCGAATATTGGTTGATTCCGATAACAAAGCATGTTGTCGACAATGAAATGGAGTAAACGGACAAGGTGGTGGAAATGGATGACTTTCTTCAGTAGTGTGTTTTTGATCATGAAAACGAACACAAAAATGAGCGTGACGACATACCGGTTTGCAATGGCGATACTCTCGACAATGACTGTTCGTTCCTTTATTGAAATCAAGGCACAACACACCGTGCTTGCATAGAGGAACATGTCGGAAAGCTTTCAAATGCTCCGGGTTCAGATTATCACATCGACCACCTTCGCGACAAAATTGTGGATGTTCAAATCCATTTGAATGTGTTGCATCCTCCAGCAATAATCTACATTCACCACCATACGGACATGTCGTTCGATGAATAAACCAGAGCATATGATCTTCATCGTTCAACAATTTGCAGGGTGTTGCACTGCCTGTTGATGGGCAAAGTGATGGATGTGAATATTCACGACAATGTTGCGCATTTTGTAGATCATTACATTTTCCTCCGTGATAACATGGTGTTAGATAAGAAATTCTTACATCACTCAAAGTAGCCTGTTGATGACTTGGCATATTCAAAATTTTCCAAGGTCCAATCATCATATCTTGCATTTTGTGTTCTTTTGGTTTTAATTCATTACCATCGAGTAATTGTTTAAATGGACGATAGTTTCCTTGTGGATTAAATTGCAGACCAGTATTGTGATCGTCAACAATAGCAAAATAGATGCTCTTGAAAAATCCGGCATATTGTTCGGCAACCGATTTGAAAATGGCTGCAATGTGTTTAGGAGGATTTTTGAAAGCACCACAGCCCAAAGCAGATAGAACGAGACAATCATGTTTGTGATGATAAGCAATGGCAAAGATATTCTCAATTTTCTTGCGCATACCAATAGAAAATTTCGAGATCAGATGATTATTTTCGACTTTTGGATCTCTATAGGCAGCCATTGCAATAGCACAAACATCAAATAACGGTTCACTCATGAAGGCATAGCCAGTATCTTCATCCTGACGAAAGACGGTCAGTCCCGATGTATAGATTGCTCCAAATTCGTCCATCGGATACATTCTTTGTCGTTCAGACAATGGATCTAATTCACAGTTCGAATTACAAAAAAAACGATTAGTTGGTTTCCCGCCGTCTAGACCCATGTCAAGACTTCGGAAGTAATCTGAACGCCGAAAAAGAGTCTCTTCTTGAGCTCCATCACCTCGACGATAACCGCCGCCTGCCGAGTCGGCATTTGCCATATTAAGAAGCACAGGTCGACGTTTCTGGGCGACTAATTGCTGATAAACATATAGACAATCTTCGTTGACTACTTCGATCAAAGTGGAGGCGTATGGAAAGGTGGTCGCTGCCGATAATGATCGCGTTACACCACGCTCTAACTTTGAACGATGATCGTATACAATTGTTTTTAGTCGATCCTGTTTCAGCTTTAATTCATGTTCAGCCGAGCGATAACTTCCTTTCCACACTACACCGATGGTATTCAACATTACTGTCATTCGCAACAAATGCCGTGTTTGGTTGGTGTCTGTCATACGGCGGTCGCGCTCAGTTTTAATGTTTTCACGATCAATCGTAGCACAGCGTCCAAATTGTTCTATAAATGCCTGAGGATTCCATTTGAATCGAAAGATCGGATGTTGTGGATTGGAAATAAACGGCATAATATTCGGTTTGTGATCACACATCTCCATTTCGTACCAATTTTCGGCATCGATTTCACTATCTTCAGGATTGCTGGAAAATGTATAGACCTCCATGTACATAGCTTGATCGCGAACACGTAACGCGCCTTGATCAACACACTTTTCATACACGCTTTTATTCGAAAGTTCGAGAATGAGACGATCGTCCTTAGGTATGGCCTTGACCACAGTACCATCAAAAACCTTGTGATTTTGAATGAGAGAAACGGGAAAATCTTTCGGTACAGGGCGCACCACAAGACGACAGGCAAGTCTGTTTTTCTTTATAATTATTCGTCCATCCAAATCGATAGAATCGAATAAGGCCCACTTTCGAGCCCTACCGGATGTTAATATAACAGCGTTGGCTGCCTCTTTGTTATATTGAATGTAAAGTGACGCTTTGGAGATATTCTTTTGAGAAAGTTGATTAGTAATAGCATGTCGTAGTCGATCTGCATTCGTATTGCGAGCTAAATCTTCGAAAAAACAACAATCAGCTCGAAAATAGACCGTTGCAATTTGACCACTAATCGAAAATTCTTTTACTGTCATTGCTTTGATAAGTTCATCCAAGGAATCCGAGACCATTCGAAATATATTCGGAAATTGAACGGAAAGTGGTTCACATATGAGTGGACGACTAACTTTGTACAATTTTACCCATCGTTGAGCCACATCTTCGGGAGATGGAAGATTTTTATCATTAGTCGATTCAATAACAACATAAGAAATAAGATCAAGATCCGATACAAATTTAATTATGGTATCATCTTCTGAATCCAGTATAATTGATTTCAGTACATTAATTAAATGATCTTTTTCTTGGTTATTTTGCAGATAAACTATGCCGAGACCTAATTGTGTATTGCATTTTATATTGATCACTTCTTGTTTATGCTTGCGTTTTAAACATTGACGAATCATATCCTCCAGTTTGTGATTGTCGTCGATTTCTGGCGGTAAATCGGGTATGTATGCAACTATGGCATCATTTGGTTCTGAAGTTTTTGATGAAAGAGGTGGTGAAACAGTCGATAGTTTGGAGTAATCACGTGCTTGATCTTTGCCTGTGGCTGATTGCTTTTGTTCGATAGAGGATCGTGATGATCGATAAGAACCGTGCACGTGATCAGTGTCATCGCAAGATGGTTTGTGATAGCTTTCCGGTGGAGAAGGCGAGCGTGAACGAGATTTGTTACGGTTTCGAGTGGCAGAAGTTCCGTGTAGTTTTTTTGTTTGATGTTGTTTTTGTTCGACTACCTTTGATGACTGACCATAATGATTATCATCTTCAGTTGAAGGTAAATGCGATGAATCGCGACGGGATCTAGTTAGCGTAGGAGAATGACGGGGAGATTGATCATGTGCTGAGTAATGCGGACGAATTGGCGATGGACTTCGTGAAGGTGATCGACGATATGTGTCTTCTTCATGCGGCGGTGATAGTGGAGAGGAGTGTAGTTGGAAATAACTTTTTCCAGCATTTTCGTGATACTGAGGAGGTCGTTTACCAGCGTGACATGTCTCGCATTCGACATGTTCATCTCCGTTCAGATACCCACAATATCGACAGTTCCACTCGCGTACATTTGAAGGCGATGGTGTGGGTGAGGGCCTACGTTCCTCTGTCGATTCTGAAATGGTTCGAAAAAAACACAACTTCGAGTGATAACATTACAATACTAAGGAGATATAGGGTTTAAAAAAAGACATCTTCATCCAAAAGCTAGTGTCGTCTGATAAAACGGTTCGATTTTATTGTCGCCATAAAAAAATGCAGATCATTGAACAGTTTGGATTTTCGTGGACATTCATTTCTCTATTTGATATTCAGCGCTGTCGCAGAATTTTTATTTTCTGTTTCCGCTTTTCTTACGAAACAAGTAGAAAGAAAATTTCCCAAAAATACAAATACATAGACACGGAAGGAGAAGTTGAGCTATTTCGAGATCTAATAATTATTTTTCTAAGATTATCAGCGCGTAACACAGTCCAGACTCTAGCGTAACTTTCATTCAAAATATTAACATACCCTTATGTGATCTCGAAGAACGATTACTATCGTTAGGCATTCGATTATAGTACGTTTCTTTCTCATCCTGTTCCTCATCGTTATCGTCAGGCCCTGTTGTTGACATCTTCATATTTGAAGTAGAATGAGTAGTTGGAATCGATGATCTACTCTTGTGTGTAGTTGCAGTGAACAATGGTTCGGATTGTTCTTGATGCGAAGATGATGTTGATAATTTTCCTCCTGTATCCTATTAAACAATAATCTCACGTCAGACAGACACGATTATAAACGGAGAAATTCACCATTTCATATGGCTGACATGAGTACGACGATCGTATACAGGCAAATAAACCTTCTTTTACTGGCTTCTTATTCAAAGGTACGGATCCTGTATTTTTCGTCCTGATCTACGATAACAGTGAAATACATGCTAGATTTTCTAAAGAATTTTCTTCGATCTCCTTCTTTGTCTTCATGCGAAAAATAAAAGAACGAATTTAATTCGATTTACAAAATTTCGGCTTTAGTAATGTCGGTTGCACTTCTTAAGGCAACACAGTTATACTCACATCCTCATTTTGTGTACTCGATCGTCTATGAATTCTGTCATCTTGCTTCGACATTTCTGTAAAATATGCTGCTGCTATGAAAAATCGTTTTGTGTTGTGACACACACACATATATGGAGAATTCGATGTCAAAAATCTCCAACTTGCCGTCTTGTTTTATGTCTTGTAAAATTTTGATTCAAGTGGGAAAAAAACAGACTAACAGAAATATTTACAGATATTTACACTAAAGATCGGAATATTCCCGTAAAGACTGACTTTGTAAATTATGCACGCTCATGTCGAAATACTAAACGAAAAAAGTAAAAAAAGAAAGAGAAAGCAGAAATGAAGTAGACTATGGTGTTGTTAAACGTATAGACAAAGAGAAAGACGATACCTAATTGATATTGTTGACACGGCTCTCTTCTCCCAAGCTTACCTGTGTAGATAGATATATTCTGTCGAGTTATGTCAATAGACGGATATCTGATATTATTCCACTACTCTATTCATGTACGCAACGAAAAGGAAAAAATAGTTCCTTTCTCTCTCTCCGTTGAAAAAAGTGTTACATCGTGTTCTTCGATTGGTTAATAGAAAAAAAAGCAGAACATTGCCAACAGATTTAATTGGTTAATATTTAACGCGTACACAACAAAGAAAGTTTTCTCATGTTATAATTGCGAGTTCTGGATTAACAATATTCTATTCAAGATCCATTTCTTCCCGGTTTTTTTACATAATAATATATTCTAAGCGCTCTCTCTCTCTCTTGTCTGCCATAATCATGTATGTATGTGTAAAAAAACGTCTTATATTCTACCCCTTCAGAAATACACAAGAACAGATCAAATTTCAAAAAGAATATGAATAAGACATTCGATCCTCTATCGAAGAGAAAAAAAAAATCTTAATTAAAACGTCACCATTCTTTCTTTATCAATTGACAAGTGGAACGGCGTACATACAGCTTTAAAATGGAGATGGAGAGTAGGACTGTAAAAGTTCCCGTTGCGTTGATTTAACGCTAACTGACAACACAGTTACCGTTAAAACAACGGTAACTGTCTTTTCAGTTACCGTTGAAATAACGGTAACTATCAGTTAGTTAACTGTGTGGTAACTATTTCTTAATTATGGCCGAAATATCCAGGCAGCGGCTTAAAATGGCTTCCAAAATCGTTAGTTTTCCACTAAAACTGTTGAAACTTTCATAAATGACATGATTTTGATTGGCACACACGTGCCAGTCGACCAAACTAATCGAAATTATATAACTTCAATGTTTTGTAACTGCGGTTTTTAAGGTCTCTGGAGACCTCAGCGTCTACGGCCAGCTTGAGAAATCTTTTTGTTTTCATCAACGAAATTAGAGTACAAAACCATGTCATTTATGAAAGTTTCAACAGTTTTAGTGGAAACTAACGATTTTGGGAGTAGTGGAGTAACCAGGAATCCGTGGGTGGTAGGGCAGTGCCCCACGACCTTTAAAAAAATCCATCCACGATAGTTTAAATTTTTTTCACAACTGAAATACAGTTGCTCAATTCTCACTTTCTTAAGAGAAAGACAATACACTGTATCTGCACTTTTATTAAGTGAAATTATGTGAACAAAAAAGAAAATGAAATAAACAAACAATAGTTATTTCAACATTATTCGACAAAAATCTTGGTGGAAATAATTATTTTTTGTTTCTCCCGGTGCCCGGCTAAAGACCTCCACTGGCCGGGCGGCGCTCAGTCTAGCCCACCCCTGGTTACGCCACTATTTGGAAGCCATTTTAAGCCGCTGCCTGTATATTTCTGCCATACTTAAAAAATAGTTACCACAAAGTTAACTAATTGATAGTTACCGTTATTTCAACGGCAACTGGAAAGTCAGTTACCGTTAAAATAACGGTAACTAGAAAGTCAGTTACCGTTAAAACAACGGTAACTGAAAAGACAGTTACCGTTGTTTTAACGATAACTGACTTTTCAGTTACCGTTGTCGATAACGGTCGAAGAAGTAACGGTAACTTTTACAGTCCTAATTGCGACCATAAAAGATAACTGAATAAAAGAAGAAATTTTCCTCGTCCAGCCCGCACAAGTTGATATATCTCACATTTAGATATTTGCATGCGACATCGAGGAAAAGAGGAATCTACACTTGATGGCAGAACTCTATTCCTGAAACACATTTTATTGCGTTTTTCTATTTTTTTATTTTATTATATTTTGGGTTTTATTTACGGATCTTCTCTAAAGTTCGTATCAACAATTATTTACTAACCAAGCTTTTTATATTCTGATGAAAATTTAATTGTGCTGTTTCATGTATATACTCAAGAATTGTCTGATATGCTGTTTTTTGTGTGTACTGTCTTCTTTGTTGTAATCTCCTTTCTGAAATATCATGACAGTAATCTCTTTCAATAAACATGCACCGAGCACATCAAATTTAGAACGAGTCTAGCTACATGTAGCCCAAAATGGAGGAAGATGGAGAGAGTTGTTTATATTAACAGAGCTTCTATTATTTTAATGCACAATATTCTGTTCAACGTTTCTTCTTGAAGTGAAAATACTCTAAAATGCACTTTCCTAGACTGCATGTTCAGGTAATTTTCTTACGAAATCTTCAACTAACATCAAAAGCAACGCTGAAAACAGATAGCGAGAAAAGCTGCGAACGCTTCTATGCATGCAATTTTTATGGTCCACATCTTGAAAACGAATTCGCTAAAATATAAATAAATGTACACAGATTCAAATCATTCATAGAAGAAATCAAGATTCTCTCAAGTGATCAAACACCTCAGCGCTTAAACGGAGCCTTATTGGTCGATATTTTTGCTATATATGCACTTTAATTGTAAAAGGAATTCTGTCACAGACACAACCATATGAAGTTAGAAAACCTAACCCAACCCTTCCTGAGTAATTCACGATACTTCTGGAGAATATTAACTAATAAGGTTAATAAGTAACCAACGCTTCACTTCAGGGCAAAGTTCGTCTTTGATACGAACTCCTAGTTTCCAACTTTTTCCAGCTTTATGTTAAAACCTCTGAAAATAGTGATAACTGAAAGAAGTCTCCTCTCTGTGAAAGTTGGCTACAAAGAAGTGGATTCTGCCTAATCTTTGCTCCACCTTTTCATTTTTTGTTGGTGCTTCATTCTTAACAGTATCACTACTGCCGGTTCACGTCCACTTGTCATAAAAGTACAACATTCTCACGTACACAATTAAGATATATGAAAGAAATATAGACTATGGGAAATGAGTGTGGTGTGTGTCAACGATTTGAACTTGGATTTTATCGGAATGGCAGAACAGAATGAGATTGTGAAAATTGCGTACCAGCGCCTTAAACATTTAGTACCTACTGCTAGTGAATCAAAAGCCGCATTTATAGCGCGTATGCTTTTTCGCGCAGACCGTTCAGCTTTTCCCATCAGTAAATGGATCACCTACGGACGATACTAGGGGTTACTATCCAGAGCACCTAGGTAATTTTGTCTTGACATCTTATTTTTCAGTTATTAAAATTAATGCATATGACAAGATCCAGGTTTACAAACTTATCGCCTCGCTATTTTACATCGTTGAGGGAGAAATAGGAAAGGAGATTTTTGGATTGCCAAAAATTATAGGTGTATCCAACCGTGCATATATTGAATGCCGAGAGACTGCAGAATAACTAGTATGTGACTTTGGAGACTAGATGGTTTGTCGAGATGCACTCATTGTTCAGAAACGTATTAATAATATGTGTCTGGAACAACTAATTGGAACCAATCGTTCATTCCATTGTCACGTTGAGAGCTCTCTCTATAGCTCTTCACATTTTGAGAAAGTAGGTTCTGATGTAATGGAATTGTCGACAAAAACACTTGTAAATTGTGGCATAACTACAGGTTTTTATGTTTTCAAAAACCTGATCATACTTCACTTGGGTTGTAATGATAGCGTTTACTGTGGTTGTAACATCAATTTTATTGGAGATAAGCGATGTCAGACGTTCAAACCATATATCTTACAAACAATAAACGAAGATATTGTTCCAGTAGTCGAAGAAATTCGTCCATTAAATATTAGTCTTCCGAAAGTGTATCCATTTGCTTCTGATAAAAATTTGATACTTACCTTAGAAGAGCAGATGAAAATTCAGAACAGAAAAAACCGGTCACAGTTTATCAGAACAACAAAATATAAGTACAACAAGACCTATGGTTATTATCCTTACTGTTGCACTTACTTACGACCTATGGCTATTCTTCTGATAGTAGTCATTTTTCTTGCTTTTTGCCTAATATACCGACGTCATCGACGTTTACAAACTCACCAGTCCAGACATGCGCGATTACAATTACAAAATGTAAAGTTCAAACATTGCTATTATCTGCAGAATTCAGAATTCTAGAACTCTGAACTTTATATGTGTGTAAAGTTGAACTTTACTTGTTGAGAATTCTAAAATTCTTAATTCTAGGGGTGGGTGTGAGGGTAAGCGTGAGCGTGAATATGCAACTTTACATGTATGTACAGTTCAGAGTTCTAGAATTCTGGATTCTACAGATAATAGCAATG